ATAAAAGTTACGCCTTTTTTCTTTGCGTGAACATTTGGGCGGTGTTATGCAAATCTTCCCACATAGTGTGGTAGATATGTGGGGGCGTGTTCGAACGAGCCGTTTTAGGTAGGTGTGGCTAACTCTTAACTTTTATAAAGAATATCTCTTTGGATTTGAGACTTTAGTCTTTGCAACTTTACAGATCTTCTTTATGCACCAAGAGCTTGTAACACTCTAAAGAGAAAGGAAAAAATGAAATCGCATCATATGACCCCTTTAAAGTATAATTAGCTAAAATATTTAATAAATACACAAGAAGCTTTTGTGACTAAAGAGTGGTCCAATTCTGTGCAAAACTGCAGATTCATAAATAATGAAGGTCATAAATAATTTAGACTAACGATTCAAAGGATAAGTATAGCATGTAGAAAATAAAATAAACAGTTAAAAAAAAATCAGCCACAGAATGACTAAATGTTGCACAACATATTCAAAGATATCTCTATCCACTTCCTAATAATACTGGTTGCTAAAACAGACCGGATTTATCAGTGTCACAGATGTGTGACCCTGTGGTCTGCTATACTATAACCACAAGTGTGAAATTTACTTCACTCCTCCCGTCAACTCAACGCAGAGCAGTAATGTAAAGGACAGGACTTCATCCGAGAACTGTGACAGAGCACAGACCACTGCCGGTCTGTGTGCAGGCTGACTGAAACTTACTGCTATGCTCGGTTTCTTTTGATTTTGTGTCTCTTTCATGCAATGACCACTTAAAAGAGTGCAAACATTGACCACTCCCTTCCACAGCCTGTCAAGCATGCAGTGAAACCAGGTCAAGAGAACTGCACATTGATTTGTAGTGAATGTGACAGGGCCTAGAACAGAATTGCATCTGATGCGATTTTAAGTGTTACTTTGATCTTATAAAGACCTTTTATGGACTGTCGCTCATATGCCTTCTATCTTTGTGTTCTTAGTTCCACTGAATTTGAAGGGTGGGGAGGCCAATGGAAACTTCCTTCATCTCATCTCTCAAGAGGATTTCCCAAAATTTGCAATGCATCATTTCCTGTTGCCAGTTCCAGCCCGTGCTAACATTCGACTTAAAATAGTACAGAAGAACTAAGTTCATTGACTTAGCGTGCTTTTAAATGGCAGGTAAACACTGCAGTGTCTTACAGGGGACACTGTCAGAGGGACAAGACATTTTTTAACCAGCTCTGATGAAGTGTTGATAAAGAGTTCATCAGATACACTTGCACCTGAGTATGCGGTTATTCCGTCACAAGCTGTATGACTGTATGATTTGATCAAACATGCATGCAATATCAAAAACAATCAGTCTTTGCCGAAACACTCATTGCATTACAAAAACGTGTTGACAAGAGTCTTTAGCCTGAACCACACTTCACGCAAGAATGTGAAAACAGAATTGTTGTAATTCAAGTTGTCATAAATATATTGTCTTTTACTTGTTTGGCAAGATTCTCATGATCTGCCGTGACAGTACAAGCAAATACAAGAATATAATTTATGCAAATAAGTTATAGTGTACTTTAAGTGCCCTATGAATTGCAGTCATACATTTTCTTGACCAAATGTGATAACTTCATAGTTATGAGATCTGATATGCATTGGAACAACCAACAGGCTATTTTTGTGTGAACTTTAAAATAAAGCATCAAGAGATGTTTGGATTATAAAAAAATTACAATTAGAATTTATATTCTGCATAAACAAAATGACACTCATTTTAACATGAAGGGTTTTTTATTTTGTACCGTGGCCTTATCATTTTACTCTAATGCATAAAAAAAATCATTATTTATTATTTAAATATTTTGAAATAATATATTACAAAATTACATTGTAAAGTACGATTTTAAGTATACATCATGACAATATTTGCTGTACAAAATGTAATTTATGCTGAAAAAAAACCCCAGTGTCCATTGTCATGAAACTCAATTTTTTTTATATTTTTTGTAAAAATATATTTATTTTTTATTTTGACTTTGGGGTGAATCACCAGGCCTCAGTGGATCATAGAAATCATTAGCATCAATCGTCTCTGCTTAGGTTCACTATGCTTTTAGGAAACGCAGTGCCTGACATTTCAACTTTTTCAGTGAGATTCACCCCAAATGTTATCACCTCATTAAACATGATGAATCATAACTAAACACACTAAACTCAAGGATCTTGAAAAATTTGACAGGGCTGGTAAACCCTTCTTGTGGATAAGAAAAATTTAACCATTTTTGGAAGTCTGCTACAACATTTATACCGACCTATTCAAAAAAGAAGCGAGGAAGGTCCTTTGGGGAAAGATATCCATCTGTTTACAGTCACAATGGACTGTGACGTGCTTTTTCTCAGCCAAACATGGCCAGAGGAAACTGGGTACGCGGCCAAATTTCCACTTGTAGCTTCAGTCCTCCATATGCACAATGAAGCCAGTGCTCTAACAAATACGTCTAAACCACAACTCTGAAAAGTCTGGACTGAACATGCACAACATGAGGAAAAATTAACTCCACAGCAAGATTTTTATTTTCTGAATAAAATGTGAGGGGTGTTTTGGGGGAAAAACAAACAAACAAACAAACAATGCTATAGGCTGTTGTATCAGATTGCCTTGCATTCAGGCAATGCTTGTGCCCTCCTTCAGTGTAAATGTGTATTTTCCTGTTTTATCGTCCAGAAGTCCAATCATTTAGAAATGCAGCACAAATTCTCACTTCATCAAGCTTCATGATTTGACACGGCATCAAACATGTCTTTAGCGCAAGCATCGGACAAACTATTAAGTTAAAAACTTGATGAAGAAACTGAGCTAAAAGTTCTATACAATCTAAAAGTCTCAAACTGTTGCGTGACATACTATTTAAAAAATAACAATCATCCTCCTACTGTGTATGGTTTTCCCAGTATATCACAGTCACCTGGTGCTAGCATTAAACTTACATATAACCATTGTTTTTTCACCAAAATGTTCACTGTCCATTTAAATTTATGAATTTTTTTTTGTGTGTGTGTTTTAAAGGTATCATGGTTCCCTAAAGGTCAACTGCACTCTAAAAATGCTGGGTTGAATACAACCTAGCGCTGGGTAAAATATGGACAAACCCAGCGATTGGGTTGTTTATAAACCAACAGTTGGGTTAAATGTTTAACCCAACCTTCTGGGCATTAACCCAACCGCTGGGTCAAAACAACCCAATCGCTGGGTTTGTCCATATTTAACCCAGCATTTTTTAAGCAGTAAATCAATAGAGAGTAGTATGAACTAACGCTGACTAGTTTCATTAGAGTCAGCAGTCACTATTGGAATATGGACTCTAATGAAACTAGTCAGCGTTAGTTCATACTAGTCTCTATTGAATCTAGTACTTAAATCATCACCATACCACTAGAATAAGAACTAGTACACAATAAATAAGTAGTGAAACTGTAAGAGATATTAGTAATTTAAAAAAAATACTGGAAACATAAAAATGGGTAGGTCTAGTGGTTTTAAAGAATGTATGAACAGCTTGACATAAACTGCTAGTTTTAGTATAATTTTTTTAGTATAACAATTTGATTGTTTTCATTTTTAAGTTTTAGTAATTTTGTTGTGTTGTTGCCATTTTTATTGTATATATGTTTATTTAGTTGTTATTACTTTTTATTTCAGGTTTAGTTATTTTAGTACATCACAATTTTGTTTTAATTTTAGTACACTCACAATTTAAACCAAACGAAAATGAGAAATGCTGCCTTGGCAACTAGTTTAAAAGACAAGTTTAAGATTTTTTTTATGTTTTATTATATTTTAGGTAAACATAAATATTTTTGATGGTTTTAGTTTTAGTAACTATGAAAACCCTACTGCCAACATTACTATTACTATTCACAAGCACGTGCATTTGTTTTGTTTTTTTCTCGTAAGCATGGACTAACATTCTTATTCTAGATGTCCATAACGAACATGTTTTTGATGGTTTTAGTTTCAGTAACTAAAAACCCTGCTGCCAAAATTCACAAGCACATGTGTTTTGGTTTTTCTCTTCAGTATAGACTAACATTCTCCTGTCTTATTTTAATTGTCCATAACTGCAGGACAGAGTGTTTAGTAGCACCCTATATAGTGCTGCAGCAGCTCAACTCCCCAGTTTCGCGGCAGCGCTTTGAAAAACCTCACAACTGGCTGTCAGTTTCCTGTTTTATTTGAATACACACACAGCCCGGCGGCGCGGTGTGTGATAGGTCGACAGACCTGTGGGGAGGTGCTGTCAGACAGCACACAGTGAATGGGAGCGGATATCACTCTAGGTTGGGGACTCGTGCGCGAGAAAGGCCCAGTGGAGCGAAGAAAACCTGAAGTGTGTTTCACTGCAGCACCTCCAGTATGGAGGAACGGCACGGGAACGTCCAGCTCTATCACGACCGAGAGAGACGCGTCGGGGCCGCTTTCGCAGGACACGTTCTCGTGTTCAAAACCAGCGAGACGCCGCGTAACGGAACGGAACAGAGACGCGTTTTAAAAGTTGAACTTCTTTCAACTCGATACAGCGTCTTAAAAACGAGACGCACAAAGCTGAAAAATCAACGGCGTCAGTCCAGCGCGTTTACATTAAAATAATACTTCTAATAATAAAACAGCGCAGAATTACGCAAGAAGGCGTTCCTTGTGAACGGCATCTACTATACAACAACGGCTGAGCTATAAAATAATACAGGCTGAAATGTACAGACTGAAATAATTAAACGCGCTTCTCGGTGCCGTTTAAAGCGTCAGCTATTCAGGAGGGTGTTTTGGCCTACCCACATTCATGTAACGACTATTTTTAAGAAACACCTAAGAAATACAGGTAGCGTTGAGCAGCAGGTTAACTAGCCGACTGCGTTCAGTTGCAAAAGAAGCGGTTGTGAAATAACGAAAGCCAAAATAATTCCCTGCGTTACTCATTTACGCCGCGCATATTCCAGCTGGAAAATAATGAGGGATTGAAACAGAGGCGACTTACATTGTCAAACAGTGATCCAACGTTTGCAGTCACTAGTAAGACGTCCGTGTGCATCTCCATGATTAGAAGCGAGCTGGAGAAAAGTCTAATCTGACGAAGGAAATCCCACTCGCAGCTCTTTGGTGGAAGAAAAACAAGCGTCTTACAGATAAGATTAGAAAAGTCTAGCTATCTCGCCCTGAAGACAGAGCCCACGAGAGCGACGCTCGCATCTCCAGTCCTGCTGTCATGAGCAAAGAGCTCCACGGTCTTCAGTTGCTCTGCGGTGAACACAGAGGGATTTCTCCTCCTGTCTGCATGGTAATTTGACTAGGTTTTTAAGCTGAATTAACCCAGCTTCGAAGCATCTGTAGCCTCGGAGTTCCTGCCGTGCCAGACTAAACCAAACTAGTTGCGCTCTCAATGTCATGTTACATGTGAAGCTCCGCCCTGCACATGTAGTACTGTGAGCTACTGTAGAAACGCACAGCGTCAAAGTTTCCGTGTGTCACTCAGACTGAAGCCACGCAAATGTATCTAGGCCTTCTGTACTTACTGAGTTTGTGTCAGGTTACATACTGTATACACATACAGAAAATACATATACTTTGTGTTTGTGTGTACTGCATACACACACACACACCGTAAAATGCTTCAGCATAACAATTTAAGTGAATTTAATAGTGCAGAATCGTTTTACTATAGTTTTTGTGCCATAACGTTATTATTTAATATTCTCTTAAAACTTAGCCTGTTCCCAGATTTAAAACTCTGAATTAACCAGGTTTTTAATAGTGCAGAATCTTCTTTTTATTACGTATTTTTAGTGAAATAACTTTTTTTTTATTGTTGTTATTTAATATTCTCTTAAGACTTAGCCTGTTCCCAAGTTTAAAACGAAACACCAACATTTGTATTGTAGTTATTTGTGCATCTGTAGGCAAATGCATTGCTAATATTAATGTAATGGCAATAAAATAAAAAATAAAAACCATTAAAAATGGAAATTTAAATTGCTCAGTGTTGGGTGTAATGCATTAACAAGTAATGCATTACTACTTTTCCCTTGAAAAAGTATTGTTTCCAGGTTTAAACGAAACAGCATTCCAGATTTCTATTGTAGTTATTTGTGCATCTGTGCAAATGCATTGGCAATATGAATGTAATGGCAATAAAGCACATAAAAGATGAAAACTGCTCACAGCGTTGGGTGTAATGCATTACCAAGTCATTCATTACTGTAATTACTTTTCCCTTGAAAAAGTAAGGATTACTTTTAATTCCTCTGTAATGTAATTAATTACTTCTGATGTAATTGCATTATACTGTATAGACTACATGGGAAAATTATAAAGCAATAGTGAATTTAACATCTAAAATTAAAGTCTAATCTTAAAATCAAGAAAATATATACAATTTTATGATTTATTTGAAAGAATTAAAAGAGCGGTTTCATGTATTGCTCAACTGGTCAGGGTTGATACAAGTAACACATGAGAGAGTATTTAGTACAGTCATCTGATTAAACTCTTGAAGATGTAATTAGTAGAATTACTTGTTTTTTTTGAGTAACTTACCGAACACTTTGCTCAGTAATGCCAATTTTGATTTACAAAAGGTCAATGTGTTTGGGGATTTTAGGTCTCTAATGCAATGAGTAAATTTGTGACATGGATCATGTGAACTTTTGTTCAAAAGGTCAGATTTCCTCCCATTGAAGCACAAGATGCTCTCTGGATCATTCTCAAATCAAAAGGTGCTAAAGTGTCCTGCGGCGTCACTGGAGAACAGGCGGATATCCATCAACTCTCTACCTCCTCCGTTATGCCATCCTGCACAGATAAAACTAAAATTGCAGCTACCAACCTCAGACCAGACCTTGTGTTTTGGTCCTCTATGTACATCATAGAGCTCACTGTGCCCTGGGGGGATGCGGTGGAGGAGGCCTACAAACGCAAGAGCCTCAAGTATTCTGAGCTGGCAGTTGACGCAAAGCAACGTGGCTGGAAAAAAAAGGTTTGTCCACTGTCCAGTTGAAGTTGGCAGCAGGGGCTTTGTAGGGAGATCTGCCATCAAACTGTTTAAGGAACTAGGAATCCGAGGCCAATCCCAACGGCAAGCTGTCAAGGCCCTTTCCAGTATCGCTGAACAAGCGAGTCGATGGCTGGATTAAGAGGAGGGAATCGGTCTAGGCCCCATAACAACAGAGGTGAAAGCAGAGGGGGGCACACCCGGGACGCCAGTTGTTGCCAATGAGCCTTCTGGAGATGTTGTGGGCTGATATCATCGAAACACCAAGGAAGGGAGGTGCCCACCTGATGACCCCAATGAAGCTGAGACCTCTTTCCCACTATGCCTTCTCCCCTCCACTCCTGGTAGAGCATTGCGTTAGCAGTGCAAAAGGTTGTGGGTTCGATTCCCAGGGAACACACATACTGGTAAAAAATGTATAGCCTGAATTCACTTTAAATCGCGTTGGATAAAAGCGTCTGCTAAATGCATAAATTATTATTATTAATTAATTAAATTTTTATCTCAGGCAGGCAATAGTACCACCTAGTCCTAAAATGTAACTATAACCTTCATATTTTATAATTGTATTGACTTTATGTTACACATTATTATGTCCTCTACAATGCCATATACAATATTAATGGTATTTACAGTATCTCATCTAATATTTATTGCATCATGGCATTCAAAAAAATCCCGCTGGCAAGATTTTGTGGAACTAAACCAAAAACAAAAATAACGGATTCAAGTAGTTTCTATTCTGCTTCTGTGCTGTTGCAGTACCACAAATTAGATAAATGAACAGATTAGTTGATAATCTAGTTAGTTTGATGGATTTAGAGCTGGTAAAGGTAAGGTACGGTAATTACTCAGAACCCGACGCACATATTCACATGCCCAATGTGCTCTGGCAGACACTTAATTGGGGTCAGTTTGTCGTTTTGAATGTTCCTCCAAAACTGATCTGGAGATCTGTAACTCATGCAAAAGTAATATTCACCAGATCCAAACACAATGACTGATTATATTTTAAAGATCCCTAAATATCTAAACTGAATCCTCCATTCCGAACACGTGAAAACAATGAGCATGCAGTTCGCTAGTGTACTCCACATGCTGTTTTTTGTGTTGTGACCCATCCATCAGCTCTTTGGCTGGCTGAAGTCATTGTATCCCCTCTTGGTCTACAAGCGGTTACCTAAGAGCTGCATGGCACTTTTCAAGAGAAATGTCACCATGAAGGAAAATCTCTGTTTCTCAGGTCCGACTCCAGCCCAGCAGCGGCAGGCTGAAAGAATGTTTATAATTCATGTTAAGTGAAAGGACTCTGGCAGAACAACTTGTCCCTATGCCTCAGTTCTCCAGTCATATGTCAATGTAGAGTCTAATAACCATGTCCAGTTTTACATTTGGTTTTACAGCCTGCTCCACCTCAGCAGGCCCAGGACAGGCTTTTTATGGGTGGGCTACATCTTTCTCATGCCTGACGAGTCGGCTACTCTACCATAGTGGGCTTCCCTCGTCACATGACCTGGGACAACATGGTGAAATGGTGTAATTGAAGTGTATCCTTTGAGAAAAAAGCAAAGGATAACAGAAACATAACTGTCATAAACTTGAGTGAATGTTGTGTTGAAGTTCTTTTATTTACATATATGACATATTTATATAGTTGTACATATGACTGTTTCACACTGGAACATTTTTAACTAATATATCAGTCAGTGATGTACAGGTTGTATTGGCAAGGTGCTGTTTCAGAGCACGGCAGCAGTCAAATCACTGGCGACATTGTTATTACAGATGAAACTCCATCCCGTCAACAAAAACAACCCCAATGTTCCCCAAAGAACCTTTCAGTGAACAGTTCTTAAATGAACCATTCTTTTTATAGCGTGAAGAACATTTGAAAAATCTGAAGAACCTTTTTCCACCATAAAGAACCTTTTGTAGAATGGAAAGGTTCACTGGATGTTAAAGGTTTTTCATGGAACCAGTGATTCCAATAAAGAACCTTTATTTTACCAGTGATTCCAATAAAGAACCTTTATTTTTAGTGTAGCAAAGACACAGTAGCATAGACATGTTATGTATCCTCTTGAGAGCCAGCAAAAATACTTTTTTGTTTGTTTAGGATTGTGTAATGTAATTTGTAATGTCTTTAATTTTCCAATGACATGAAATGAAAACACACACACATATATATATATATATATATATATATTGCACGTCTTTTGTTGTGAACATCAGGAATCAGGACCCAGTTAAAAATTAAAGCAAGAAGCAAGTTTATATTGACATGTTTTGCAACTTGCAATGAAATTGTCAATTGTCAATGAAAGTTAAACCAATGAAACTTTGGCAAATTTAGCCATATTTCATATGATTTTTTTTGGGGGGGGGCGGTTGTTTTGTTTTACCAAATTCACCTGTAATGTCTCCCCACCAAGTGAGAAGCAAATTTCTATTTTTGACAACTTCAATTTGAAGTTTTCAAGAGGACATGTATAGACTTGACTATAAATACATGTCATCTACAAATGAACTGCTGGATCCCAGGAGGATACTGAACTGATGATGAACTGCAAAAACACTGGAGAAAGAGCACAAAGTCAGTGCACTGGAATAAGTCCTACATGATCAATAGCTGTTTCAATCCACCTATTTTTATGCACATTTTGGAATCGCCTAAAAAAAAAACTCTGGATGGAAACGCCAAGATGCGCATAAATTCTAAAAATGCACATAAAAAATGTATGCGCACAATTGTGAGGAGGTTCAACTGGAGGTTCAACAATGCATGTGTGTTTATCCAACACACATGCATTGTGACTGTGTGTTGGATAAACTTTTTATTCGATAAGAAAAATGTGCATAAACAATGATGGAAACACATTTACTGAATAAAATCCTCCATGCGCATCAAAAAAAGTCATGTGACGGGATACCTGGACTAACCAGCGGGCCGATCTCATTGCACAGCATCTGAAATGTTGTTATGGTCTTTCTTAAATGCCCGAGCAAAGCCTGTCGTCAAAGTATTTCTGTATAATTGCCTCCCAGAACTGTCTTACACTACTGTGTTCCGCCTCCAAAAGCAATGACCGCATTTATTGTGTTTCGTCTGCTCGCTCGGAGATGCAAGTCATTGATTATACATGAAAATTATTATATTCAGAGGCTTCTCCTACTTTTCTTAGTGATATTTAGTGCCAGTGTATCAGGAAGTGAAGATTTTGTCCTCTTTGGCTCGTAGGATGGAAACGGTGCTTAATTCGCCAATGTTTTATGCGATAATCCAATTTTGCGCACAAGTTAAATTCACAACTTTGGACGGAAACATAGCTAATGACTGAGCTTTAGTAGGATCTCCAGTTGAACCTCCTCATAAAGCCAAGAACTACATCAGCTCTGAGCAACTGTATATGATGCATTGTGACTCGTGACATGTTTATCTGACCTCTCTCTATGTTTCCACAGGGCCATTTATATGCACTCGGTAACTGGTTTAAAACTGTACAGAGTCATTCTGCTGGTATGTAGTCGTGCTATTTCGGATCACAGCTGAGGTCTACACTTTAATTATATTTAATCTGTTTATTACAAGCTGACTTGTCTTTAAAGGGGTCATATGATGTTGCCGCAAGCCCTCCGGACGCTCCTTCGTCGAATCCGCCGCCTCTGCTCACTCTAGCAGAGTGTGTGACGCAGTGTTTCGTTGTGAAAGTGAAACTACTTTGTTTGGGCTTCCAAATGAGGACGATATCCGCTGAAATAATGTTCTTTTTAGCAACATCATATGACCCCTTTAAAGTTGTAATTAGTGAAGTAATACACCACTTGTGGCCAATTCAATTCCAATTTCGTAGATGAAGTATATAATCATTTTTAAATGCATATTACACTTTCTTGAATCAAAAACCACTGGGGGAACTCCATCGTACAGTGCATGCCTCCTTGAGCTTATGACCAGGCTCTGTGAGAGATGCTGCTCTTATAATAAATGATGATGGTTGAATGAGAAAAACTAATAATAACCATCTAAGTTGGTGCAAGATGGCTGCGCACACCCATATAAGGTTGATATTAAAGGCACAATATGTCATTTTCGCCGCTAGAGGGCACGTATTCAAAATAAACAAAGAGACAAAGGCATAGTTTGATGACGCTGTGACTGAGTGTGGAATCATGGGAGTTGTCGTCTTCATCCCCACAGCCGATGCAATCCGACGGGACTCGGGCAGAAATCATGTTCATGGATGAGCTAATGATTTATTAACGTAGTAGAATGAAGCAGGGTGAGGCTGAAAGCCGTCGAAGCGAAACGAGGCCGCTGAACAAGCGTGACACACGGCTCGAAAGCAGTGGAGCTTTTATTATGCCACAGTCGACCGCTTCCGCTCCTTCCGGTCGTGAGTATGTGGGGTAAAGCAGCGCTGTTTTATCATACTAGATACATTTGAAAGTTCTGTTATAATGCTACTCTGTGCGGTCGTCACCGGTCTATTAAAACACACAACATATTAAAGCGTCTTTGGTGTTTCCATGTTTTCTACAAAACAAAACCGGAAATCAAGGGGTTATGACGTCATTGGCAGGTGACACAATGACACTGTGGACACGCTCCGTGTCACTAGATAAAATTGCTTATTTCTCTGGATTTAAACATTCTTCGAAACATTTGGGATAATGTAAGTACACAAGTCAGGAAAATATATAACACTGTTCTAGTGGTTTTTGGATATTTTAATAAAAAAATCTTACATATTGTGCCTTTAAAATCTTCACAGCTTTAATGTTACTGGAGAATCAGGCTTCATCAGATCCAAATGAATCTTACACATTAGAAGTCTAAAAGCTAAAGTGACTCAGAAACAGCTTCACACATGTGGATCAAGCTTTAATACAATAACAACTAAACAAACAACATCTTGTTCATCAGCAGTTGTAACCAAACATAGTCCTGAAATTAAAGACCCTTGGTACACAGACTGCATCTGTAATCGCATACTTCCCATATAATATTCTTTGCATATAGTAGGCAAAAAACAGTACGAGTAGTATGTCCGAATTCACAGCATTCATAAAAAAGCGGATGATGCCACGAGAGATGATTTGTGAATGACAGTGAAGCGACGCAACTGATGCTGCTACTATTAGTCACATGACAATGACAACGTGACGTATGTAGTACATCCGGATTACATTCATATGACACAAATTCATACTACATAGAACAGACTTTTTTTAGCAGTCGTGAAGTAATTCTTTTATTCAAACGTAAGAGTGTTTGATTTCGGATGCAGCCTTTTTGTTACACAGCATGTTGTAAAAATACTACTTTTTCATTCTGCTTCATTATGAGCCCTTTAGTGTTTTAGTTTTAGAGCTAGTTAGTTGCGTACAGTGTTTCCTGCACTGCTATTCAGGATGTTGTTGCGCTAAAGCTTCATCTGAAAGGACGTGGAATTTTTGAGTTCAGTAAAGGCCTGTTTAAGACTAATGTTCGGTGTAAAAAATATCAGAGTGAATTTTTATGTTCATTCAGCCTGTCTGCAGTTTTTTTATGCATTGGTCTGAACAGACAAAATCACACAGATAAATCATCAGACAGCTTATTCAATCGAATCTGATTACTCGCTCGCTCAAGGAACTCAAAATGAGCCCAGAACTGATAACTGGGTTTTGAAGACATAAATTTGCAACAGAATTTTAGAGTTTTGTTGTAATAAAATGGATTTTACTTTAAAATAATAATAATATATTGAAAAAAATTATTGATGTGTTGAAAAAATATGTTATTGTTTAACATGTTTTAGGGTTGATTGATCTGAAAAAAAAAGTCCTGTAGGAAACACTGGTTGCATATTTACAGTACATGCTGCATAGTGTTGTTTAAAACATCACAAACAATTGTTTTAATTTGAATGAGTGCAGTACCTGAAGAATAGTTCATAGAGTTTTCAATTGGCCGTCACTTGGCCAATGTCATTAAGACTCTCATGATTTGACTCCCAGATGTGAATGGAAAAGTTCTGGATCTTTCACACAAGGACGAGAAAAAAAAAACTAACAATATATAACTAATTCTTCTCAAACCCTTCACACAGGTTTGATTGTTTATCCAGAGGTATTTTGAAAGGTCAATGCAGATTATTCATCTGCAAAGGTCAGGCTAACCTTAAATTGCAGGTTTTCCATGAATATTTCCACTGTTTTCTCCTGTTAAAATCCAGGATTAAAGTGATTCACGCAGCAGAAGTATAGCAGAGAGATAGAAATGCTCTCGGACACCTACGTGCAGCCTGATGAGGCGTTTCCTTCAACCATACATGGCCATCAAATGTAATAGTTTACCGTGTCCTAATGACACGTTAGGAGTAAATGATAATAAAAGAAAAAAAAAACTAACCAAGAAACGAACAAAAAGAGAGAGAAACCATTAAACTGCTGCATTGCGTCCTTATGACTCCTCATGAGTGACCCGGCCACTATGGACTGAATCACGCTACACTGACTTCAGTAAAAGTACCATTACGCATCAAAACACATCTCATGGTGTTTTGATCACGATCTGACCTAACACTGGACACACTTTGGTCTTTTTCACAAAGACGAACAATTAAACAAGGACAGTTCTTGTTATTGGATGTAAAACAAAAGCATAACGTCGTTGTCCATGTCTCTGAGCCCTCTCTTGCCCTCCAGGTCCTCACCTGATTCATCTCCTCTCCTCAAGAACGACTGCGGACCTCTTGCGTTCCAACCAAAATCTTGCTGTAGAGTTTTTGTTGCTCCTCTTTGAAAGTGTCTTTCACTTTCCCTCGTTTCAACCCACCATCCCTTAAAAAAGAAAAAGAAAAAAAAAAGTTTCAACTAAACAGTCATTTACCAAAAAAAGGCCATTTACCTACTGAGAAAAGCAGCTTTAATATGCCTACGCTGGTTTGTTGGCCTCCCAGTCTGGTCAAAACCATGCTGGCTGGTTTTAGAAGGGTTCTGGGCATTTGTCAGCTGGCCAGGCTGGGAGATCAGCTTAAACCAGATATGTTATGTTTGAACAGACAGTCAGTTATTACAGCTTATATTAGTGTTTTTATTAATTTTCTTTGGCCTCAACAAAAAAATGATCATGATTACAGTAAAAGACTGTAAAATTGCTGCGGTTAAAAACCTGTTAATTGGTCAAAGGTAAATTCCATTACTCTATAGTGAAAAAAAATTAATAATGTAACTAATAGGACATTTCAAACAATTTTACAGTAAAATACTGTTAAATTTACAGTTTTTAGAAGTGAGAAAGAACAAGTCGTCTAACAAAAACCATAAATTGACATTATCACAACTCCCTGTGTGACGGCTCACACTTGATGGTTTTTCATTGAAATAACTGTACATTAAAGGCAGGGTAGGTGATTTGGTTAAAAAAAAAATTTTGTTATGCTGGCTGAAAGTCTCTTCACATCCCGATAGCAATCACTTACACCACTTAATCAGTTAAGTGGTCTAAATGTATTTATATCGTCTGTGGAAAGCATAGGACCATAAAATGTTCGTCCAAACATATTCCTCGATCCGAGGGCTACGATAGGCTGTTCTGCCTGCCTGTCAGCTTATGTATTTGCATACCTCTGTTCACCCTGTCCGCACAGACATGACACGTCATCAGTGCGTTCATTAGCTCGCTATAGCTAGCCTTTCTGAAATCCTACCCTACCTTTAAGGTTTATCTTATGTTGTTAAATTAATGTTTATTCAACATCTGCCATTTATTTACAGTCAGTTTGACAGTTGAGTCAGATATGACAGCTGACTTACCACAGCAGGTCCACTAGACCACCCTGTCTGGCAATGGCTGCCTTTACTCTGTTAGCAAACTGCACTGCATCCTCACCTTCCTGCAAGGTGACAAAACAGACACTTGTTACAATTTGTTTTCCAGCATTTTCAGTTAACAGCATGTATAATAGAAGAAACAGTTATTCTTTTTCTGAAATAGTAAATCAAACTATAAATACACAAAGGAAGGACTTCCAAAAATATTCCAGTGATTTTCCAGAGAACTTTTGTAACTTTCAAGGTGTGGCGGATCACATCAGCACAATGATTTACCTATGGTGACCATTTCGGGGTTTTTTGGGGACAGAAGCCTTGACATGCATTAAAAACAATAGTCTATTTGTTTATTTGCATGCCCACATGCAAACACAGATGTCCATTTCCAATCTGTGGTGGGTGGACAAAACTCCAAACCCACACGGGCTCATTTGTGCTTGATTTGTGTATTAAATGCACCAATGCAAAAATGGGAAGGGCAGTGCAAGTCAGTCATACCACAGATTTTACTGCATGCATGTAGGCCTTACCTGACGGCTCATCGGAGGCAGGTACCACACGCTGCAGACGATGGCCCAGCTACTCATCATCCTGAGCAGATAATTCACCATCCCAAACTTACTGCTGTTCCAGAAGGCTTCCCCAAACCGAGGGTCATACTAGAAAATCACAAAACATGCAAATGAAATACAATGCAACCACCACCATAATGCTGACGCAAGACAAAAGTCATTTTCTTAATCTTTTTTTCCCCCCAGTAAACACACCTAAACATTCTTAAAACAAAAAAAAAACAAATGCATACATTCAAACCTGTATTCAGATAATATTTCTTATTTGTTTAAAAGTTAGACGGTATTTAAAACTTTTAAACCTTGAAATAAAACTTAAAATACAACAAAACAAAAAAAAGCACATTTAAAAACAAAACACATTTAAGCTAATGCAATGCAAAAATAATTCTTAATATCTTACACAATTTTGCTTCTCAAGTAATCTTGTTTTAAGGATGTTAAGATGTTATTGCTGACAAATACTGATTAAGACATCAACATCCTAATCATTTGCCCTTCATCATTTTTCTTAGCATAAAAGCTGATAAAGTAAGAGAGGATGCAAACAAGGAGGAACCTTTGAAAGCAGCTTCACAGCTCAGAACGAGAGTGAAATCATACAGCCTACCCGCTACAGTATTAAAAACACATTACTGATAACTGAAAAAAAATCTTTTAAGTTTGGAATAATCAGTATGTCCAGCATGTTTTAAGTGTAAAAGACACATGAATGGGCATGTGTCAGAGGACATTTGCACATGTAAACGATCGGTAAAAGAAAAAAAAAGTTCTTTCAGCACTCAAAAAGAGGACACTGTGGTAATACTAGATTTCTACTTGATGCCAGGGTGTTGTGGGTGGTTTTAAACATGTTGCTATGCTGTTCTGGGATGGCTAGGTGCTTGCTTACTGGACCAAGTCAAAAGAGTCCACCCCCAAGTCCCTAGAGATGGCTTAGGTCTCTCTATCTATGGGATTTTTAGTTTTCGCCTGTTATATCTGTTATATCATCCACCAGCCATATCTCAGATCAACTCAAGAGAAAAGAAATAGCACACATCAACTCAACATGTCTCACAATTTACAGTAGGGTCCAAAAGTGTGAGACCTCATTCAAAATCTGGGATTTTTAAAACCTTTTATTATTTTGAAAAATGTAAAACAAAGAAATTTGACATAAAATTCCAAAATATTTCTTCTTTATTTTAAGATTTTGTGTAGAAGTAAGATTATGCCGTATTTTTAGATCAGATCCAATAAGCATTCAACATGATCATCAGGACTGACCAAGCGGCAACCTTCCGGTCTCTCTCGTGAAACCAACACGGAAGTGACTAAAACTGCAATTCATCGACTGGCCGCTAGAGGCTGGCTCCAAAAGCGACCCAGTCCCATAGACTCTCCATGTTAAAATGCCCAACTTTACAGTAATTTTGCCCTTCATGAAACTGTGAGGGGGGTGAATTTATTTTATAACTCATCCGTTTAAATTATGTTAAGCCTTAAAGTTCTGCATAATTAAGGGCGTGGCCACTTGAGTGACAGGTGGATTGCCGCTGCTGTCACCGGCGTCGAGCTAGATGAGCGTGGTTTCAGCAACCAGCTCCCGCCTCTTTGCCCATTTTCGATTATCCGGGAGTGACGCGCGGTGACACGCTGCCAAGATGACGGCCGGCTCCGCCTACTTTAGGCTTCAAAAACGCTCTTCGGAGACCTACGGGTGACGTCACGGACACTACGTCCATGTTTTTATACAGTCTATGGGACTGACACAAACTTGTAGAGTTCATTCAGCTTGAGAGCCGCTGTTGTTAAAGCAAAAGAGGACAAACCAAACACTAGGACAATAATTCGTGGTCATTTTGTAATTCAAATGATTATGCTGATTATGTAATTCGTTCAATAGCAGTATTTTCATTAGTGGTCTCAGACTACCATGTGTATCATTCAGGTATCATTTATGATTGTAACACAAACATTGTTTTATCAGTGTTTAATACTTGATGTTCAAGGTTTGCTCACATCCCTAACCCAAAGTATTCACTAGGGAAGTGAGATTTTCTGACCTTTATGGCGACAGGGTAGACGGTTGAGCCAATTTCAAAGCTTCCTTTCTTGAACATCATGACTGATGTGTTATTAATGCAGGTACCTGGAGACAAATTATATGATAAACACAAGAAATAAACATAATAGCATATTAACAACCAAATCACATCACTTGTTCCATGTTAGTTACTATTTATATACGTATATGAATTAGTGGAGAAACTGTAAAAGGTCAATTGTAATTTATTCAATCACAACACGTTTTTCAATCACATTCTTTCTCTGCCTGAAAAAACAAGTGAGACCAGTTCACTTTGTGAGAAATTTTCAACAAACACTGCTTTTGAATTATGGATGTCCAGTATTTGTTTCCTGCTGTCTAAAGTTATAAAGCCTTTCAATTAAAAAATATCTACATTACTGTTCAAAAGTTTGGGGTCGGTAAGTAAAAAAAAAATAAATAAATAAAAATGATCACGGCTTCCAACAAAAATATTATGCAGCACAACTGTTCTCAACATTGATAATAATAAAGGATCATGAGACACTGGAGTAATGGCTGCTAAAATTTCAGCTTTGCATCACAAGAATAAATTACATTTTAAAATACTTTTCAAACAGAAAACTGTTATTGGAAATTGAAATTATATTTCACAGTATTACTGTTTTACTGTATGAACAAATAAAGGCAGCCTTGATGAACATAAGAGACTTCTTTCAAAAACATTACAAATCTTACCAACCCCAAACTTTTTAATGGTAGTGGATGTAGGAAACAAACATAGTAGTCTAACTCTAGTCTCCTTTTCATATTAACACAAATTTCTGAGAATGAGTTCAGCTCACCTTCGGGGAATATGAGGATGGGCAGTTTGCTTTTGTCTTTTACGTGATCGCTCAACCTGAAATAAAACTCATTTAATTAATAACAATAATAACAATGTATGAGTGTTATAAAAAATGCAATTCAGTGAAATATTTGAACTAATAATATTAAGAGGAATATGTTTAGAAGAATCCAGCACTTTTGTGAAATAGGAATAGCCACAGAAATAAGATAAGCTGTGATGCTGTGTTACCTTTTAGCCACTAGATGGCGATCTTTGACTTCTGAGCGCTCGAACCAAATGTGTGGACAAGCTTTCACCATAGACCTCTGAATGAGCCCCATCAGGCCCCCATGGATCTGACCCACCTATAACACACACACACACACACACACACACAATTAACCCTCTCAGAGCAGCTTTCTCACACATACCCACTACAGTTCCAGTCAAGAAACACACTTACCATTGCATAGCATCCGTCACTGGCTAGTATAATGACGTCAATGGGTGACGTGTGGTTGGCGACACAGATGCCTCCATTCTTGGGTTTGTTTTCACTGTCCCAGAGAAAGACAAAGAGAGGAGTTTGTGAGCAAAGGGTGTAAATAGTTGCAGGAGAAGCAGAGCAATGTGAGTTTGTGGTAAACAGGTCAAATGTCATCTAATGAAAGAGTTTGTGCGGACATCCAACAGTTTAGTAGTGTCTTCTTCATGCTGTTTTGTTGTCACCAAACCCTGAATGTCCCTGTGAAAGGAGCCAGTTTGACTGGTCAAGGGAGAGGTCCTGAGAGAAAGAGAAAGACTTTTCTCTATTCGTATCGTATTTTAAGAAGAGAAAAGGAGATAGAGAGAGAATGCACAGGAGGACAGTGACCTGAAATACCACACATGATCACATTAGGGCGATGCAGGAATGACAAGCTGAGATAATGACAAAGAGGAGTTCAAATTCAGTTGAAATCTGACCTGACATTGAAACACCAAACCCTTGTTAACTCGATGTTATACCGTTCGGGTGTTATGATGTCTGACCCCACTCTGTTTGTGTGTCAGATAACATCAGAACTAAATGTCCCTTCACCATTGATTCGGAACATGCTAGAGAAGTTAACGTTAGCTCTAATTCACTGTAAGGAATTGACCCTTCACCGGAAGTTTGATTGACCGGCGAATCTGCCATTTTGTCCGGCAAACAAACCAGACAGGAGAGTAGATTAATGTCGGTGGACTTGAACTTGAAAAATGGTGTGTATTGATGTCTCTCCGCGGTTGAAACAAGAGACCTTCTGATGTTCATTCATGTTTATTTCGTGCTATAACTAGTAAAGAGGAAGACATGATCGGTTCATGTGCCGCTTGAATGAGGCTAGCCACAAAACTGTATTTATTGTTTGAATTTTTTACAAAATGACAACATTTAAAAGCTGAGACTTTGTCTCATACCTAAAGTAACCTTCTCTGTCTTGTCTGTCGGCTCGTTGTCAGTGTCCTCGATGTATTTTTCACTGAGTGAGAACATGATGTGTGGCGTGAGAGTGCCATGGGTTGTCGGACATAGCAACAGTAACTAAGGGGGCGGGTCTTTGCGAAGGTTTCTTGCATGGAAAAGAGCAACTAGCTCATTCTTCAAAATTTGTCCTTTTGTGTCTCAAGGAAGACAGTCAGGTTTGAAGAACTACTTCAAAGAGAACTGTGAAGGCTCACTCCTGTGATTGCTAATGTTAACCTGATAAAATAAAAACAAGACATTTCAGCTCAAACTCTAGAACAATCTTTACAAAATTTAATTTAAAAGTGCACAGCGAGTTTTGTTTGCATTTTTCTGGATCTCTGAAGCATACCTATGAGGATGCAACCTAGTCTATGTAGAATATTCAGAGTATTCATCTCATATGAATGTATATCATTTTAATATTTCAGCATTTTATTTACAATTTTTTTTATTTGTAGATTTTTTTTAATTAGCAATAAATTACAGAGTTTACTTTTAATATAAAAAAAAGGTTTTTTTTTTTTTTTTTTTTTATTTTTA